GCAGTGGGTGTGGGTTTTTTTTTTGTTTTGTTTTGTTTAACCAGCCCCTTGATGCTGCTGGTCCACGGACCAGACTCTGAGTAGCCAGAATTGAGAACTAAAGCAGGTGCCATGGAGTCGACTCCAACTCATGGTCCTGGGTGTGTGTCAGAGTAGACTGCACTCCACACTGTTTCCCTTTCTCTGTCTCTTCTTTTGAAAATACGGTTTCTCTTATCTTTGTTGTTGTGGTTGAGAATACACAATGCAGGACCCACACCACTACAACCGTTTCTACCTGTGCAATTCAGTAACACAGTTGCAAAACCTTCCTCACCCTGCTTCCCCAAGTTCCTTCCTCATTCACGGGAACTCACCGCCCCAAGGTTCCGCTCTAACCCTGTGGGTCACTGGTGTCTGTTTGATCTGAAGACAGTTCTTTCTTGTTTTCTTTTGAAGTTGATCTTTTCCTCCTTGCCTCCACTGGCACGGCCCTTCCCGTCATTGTTATTATCTAAAATTTATTTTTATTGTTGTTGTTAACAACACACACAGCAAAACATTTACCATCTCACCGGTGTCTAGAGTACAGTTCAGGGACAGCTTTCTCTGAGTTGTGTCACCACACTCTTCCCCTTTTCCTGAATCGTTCCGCCCCTGTTCGCATCAGCTCGCTGCCCTGTAGGTTTCCTGTCTAACCTTTCCACTTGCTGCTGTTAGTTTCATCCTCTGTAGACAAATCTTACAGAAACACAGGGTTCAAGGCAGACACCCTTAAGCTAAGTGATTGTTTGGTTTGTGTCTTGGGATATTTTTGGCTTCAGGTTTAAAGATTCTCAGCGTAATCATTTCAGAGGTTCATCCAGGCTCCATGACTCCAGAAAGTCTGGATTCCATCCATAGTGTTTTCCAGACTGATTTTTTTTTTTCTGAAGTAGATTGCCAGCCCCTTCTTCCAAGGTGCCCCTAGGTGGACTTGAACCTTCAACCTTCTGATGACTAACCAATTGCATTGACCATGTGCACCACACAGGGCCTCTGTGCATGAGAACAGTTCCATGGTGATACCTCTGCTTCCCATGAGGAGA